TGAACCGTCAACCCTGAGCCCTAAACCCTGACTCCTAAAACAGACCCTGAACCCTAAACGCTAGACCCTAACCGAGGGTTGGGTACACCCTCTGTTTTTTTCTGGTTTGGCTATGTGGTTTAGGGTGTAGGGATATGGTTTAGGGTTTACGGCTCGGTGCAGGAGTTAGAGCTTAAAGAGAATGTTCCTAGATGCTCTATGGGCTCTTTGCAGTAGAAAGTGGAAACCCTGAGTCAAAAGCCCAAAAGCTGAGCCGGAGATGCCCATTCTTGTCGCCCACTTGAGGGTTGGTGGGCCGCTGATAGGGCGGTCCTCCCTGATCTTTATGGTTTAGTAGGGTAGAGGTTTGAAGAATTAACCGGAACATCTCCTGTTGCAGCATGACATGCCCGAAGCCCCGTTCTAGCTGCAAAGGCCACTCTTGTACCCGGATCCCGTCTCCAGCTGCTAGCTTTTGCCCTCACCCCTAAACGCTAAGGCGTGTTTCTATTTCTACATACCCCTAACTGAGAAGGATCAGTGGACTTAGTATCCAAGCGTGGTTGTAAGTAACTTTGGTGAGGTCAAAAGTAGCTTCAATCATGGTTGCCTGAAAATCCTACTTACTACGCTCCCTGATCCTCTTGAGTAGCTGGCAGCTTGAATAATGGTTGCCTTATAACCCTACTATGCTCCCTGATCCTCTTACGTAGCCTTCTCTTGAAGTCAGGGCTCACATGGACACGCACCAAGAGCCGGAGAGGCGAGTCTGCTGGAGACGATAGTAGAGGGTCCTGAATATCTACTGCTTAACACTTAGTTACCAGTATCATCCTCTAACACATACCAAATCCCATTCATGTCATCTTCCAAACCCAATTCTACCGATAATAAGCTAACTATAAATTAAGTTATGTTTGGTCGAGCGTCTTTGTGGAAGTCTGCCAGTTGGTTCGCTTTGGCGGGAACTTTCGGTCTTGGGGCGGGGGCGGGGGCTTGGGGCCTTCAAGGAAGCTTAGAGTGTTAACGGTCTTTTATGGCTTTTGAAGAATTGCTCGGGTTTTTGAGGGCTTCTCTCAAGACGTTTTTCAAAGAATTTGGGGTTCAGGGTTCTTTGGAGTTTGGATGCTGCGAGCTTTCAGCACAACCCTAAACCCTAAACCCTAAACCCTAAACCGCTATCGATTGTAATTAAAACCATTAGCACTCTTCTCAGTAATGTTCGATGCCCTTCGGCCTTCAAGCAGCAGGCTTTAGCGTTTGGGGTTGAGGAAGGCATAGCAAGAGGTCAAGGCCCACACAACACCACGCTTGCATTGCGCAATACAAACTTTTGTTTAGGGTTGCCGGTTCAGTGTTCGGGTTCCAGGTATAATATAGATGCCTAACTTAAACCCACTATTATTCCTTAGGTTTTTTGCTGGCTGTAATCATACTGTAATTTTTACAGGAGCGCAAAAATCCTATTCTAATTATTTGGGCTCCTACCTTAGGATTTCGAGTGTTCTGTTTCAGGAATTCGCCTCCGGGTGTGGTTGGTCTGGGGTTTCTGGTTCAGGGCCTCAGGGTCACGGTTCAAGTTGTTTTTTTGTTTTAGGGTTTAGGGTTTGGGGGGGGTGAACCCAGACCCTGAACCCAACAACCTAAGACTTTTTACCAGACGCAGCCACAACTCTCTCCCCCAAACCCGAAAGCAACACCAGAAACCATCAGCAACCCTAAACCCGAAACCGTAAGCCTTCTTTCGGTTCTAGCGGTTCAGGGAAGCTCCATATAGTGTCCCTTATGTGAGCTCTCCGAGCCTAACAAGCTTTTGTGAACCCTTTATAGCACCCCATATTTTACCCACCACAACTAAGCTTAGCGGGACCCTAGAGTAGGGTACGCTTTTTCGGGTAGCCTATTCTATGACTAGGATCCTATATGAGAAGAAACGCAGGAGACTAAGGCAACGAAAGCGAGTTGCTACATGCATAGCTCTGGGTATAATCGCCGGGTTCAGGGAAGCACCTCTTCCCACAAGGCTAGGTTCCTTCAATGGCGAGCAGCGCACGCATACGCTGCTCGTGTTCGTGCCTTTCGGACCGGAAGTGTGGATGTCTGAGGGTTTAGGAGTTTACGGTTCGAGGAGGTTCGCGGTTTCCGGTTAGCGCTTGGGCTTGAGGTGTTTAGGTTTGAGATGGTTTAAGGTTTGGGGTGTTGGACTGTTTGTGGTTGGGGTTGAGGTTTCGGGGTGATGGTTTGGTGGTCTTGGCATTCTGGCGAGTTCCGTTGTGAAGTTCAGGGTTTAGGCTGTTGGGTGGCATCGTTCTCGTAGAAAGTTCCGCCAGTTGTGCTACCTCACAGAGCATCGACTTCGAGTTGATGGGTTCGTTGGGGTCTTTTTTGTAGGGAGCCGCTATCGGCAGAGGACTTCAAGATAGCAGTGGAAGTTGCAGGGAACCAAGTTGGGATGATGGTGCCGGTTTTGGAGGAGTCGCTACATTACGACTGTGAAAGACACAGAAAAGCATAATGACAACCCAGCCTCCTTTTGAATCCGGGACTGTGTTCTGACAGCTTGCGCTGCTGTGACCGCTTGGTTTTGGCGTTCTGCTAACTCCAAAATCAGACAGGCCCCAGTCTTCATGCGATGAGAGAGGCCTTGCGGTTGATCCTCTAAAGTTTCTCGGCTTTAGAGTCTACTGCCCAGGTGCCGGTTAGTATTTCGCGTTTGCAATGTGGCTTGGATCCGCATATTCCCCTGTTTGGGGTTCCCGCTACAGGGCCTTGATGCTAAACTTGTAGCTTACATTCCGTATCAGTCTCAGAATCTACGGAATGCCTGCGCACTCGTAGAGCCCTGAACGAAACCCCACCAGCCCACAATCCGAACACCCAAATTTCCGAAACATTGCTTCCGACGTTGACAGCTTCCTTTCAGGTCGACAGTGCCTGAGGCCAGGAGCCCCACCTTTTGTGCCGGTGTGTGTAAGTATGGGCGAGAGTGAGAGTGATGGAGAGAGATACAGAGAGAGAGAGAGAGAGAGTGTTTGTTCAGGGGTCATTCTTTCAGGTTTTGTTTAATGGCTTTTGAAATGCACGGTCAGCTTTTAGAGGTATTTCGTTTCGGGGCTCCGGGGGCAGAAGCCCTAAACCCTTAAAAGAAAACTCAACCCTAAACCCCTAAACCCTAAACCCTAAACCGAAATTCTTAGGGTTTGGGATCCTACGTAGGATCCCAAGTGCGGAGGGTCTAGGGTTTAGGTGTTTAGGGCCTACGGTTTCGGGCTTGGGGCTTAGACTTTAGGGTTTAGTAGAGTAGGTGAGCTTTAACCGTCAAAGGGTTGCTATAGGGGTTACTCTAAGGTTTTAGGGTTTGCAATATAGGGGCCTTAATTTAGTAGTAGAGCAGGCAACCTTTAACTTTTTGGTGGCATTTCAACCACCCCTGTTTGATTCTAAAGTTTGACCCTTACCCATAGGCCCCATAGTAGTTCTTTTTTGGGGTTCATATTTAGAATCCTATAAGGTAATCCCAAAAAGGAACTACTATGGGGCCTATGGGTAGTTTCCTTGCACGCCCTGAAGCATGCAATCGTCGGAAACACGGTGCAAAACCCCGTGTGAAAGCCGCTGCATTACCCAGACATACTAACCCTTAAAGGGTGAAGGGTTCATTCAGCTTACGAGTATTGCTCAGTGAGCAGTGCTCTTCTTGCAGAGGGTGTATGGCAGAAAGCAGTCACAAGGCGTTTGTTTGCGGGCTTGGGCATCTGCAAACCTGGTCTCTGACAGGGGCGGGAGAAGATTGCTGTGAATTTCACGTCGGCGGGTCTGACACATCCCACTTCGGATTTCACATTCTAACATTTTCCCCCCCCCCCGGCCCAAAACCCCCTAATCAGTAAAGCAACAAGTAAGGAACAATGGACTAGGATAGTTTTGAATCCATCCCGACTCTGATGACGAGACATATGTTCTCGCAGCCAACTTGATTCTTTGTCTCAGTCGGATGGTGGCGGCCATCTGCATTTCCCGCTGCTCGAATTGCGAGTGCTTCCGAAGGCAGCCACGCTTCACAATAGATGGTTTCTATGGGGTTTAGGGGCTTTGGGTTTAGGGTTGGCTTCGATAATAAGGGCTTCTCCGGGCTCCGACAAGGTGGGACTTATCAGCATTTGGTGTTATAGGGTTCGGGGAGTGGATGTAGTATACACATGCTCGGTAGTACTTGGTAGAAGTGCCAACTTTCGAGCTCCAATTCGTTTGGTCGGGAGGGGTTTTCACACATGCGCGCACCTAGGCTGCATGTGAACTGGGGTGTGACGGCTTTGGACATACGGTTGATGATAGAAATCCTGCACTACCCATAATAAGGAATATACCATAATTTCCATAGTTTAGGATCCTTAGGGTAATGCAGGATTTGTATCATCAACAGTATGTCAATTCTTGCACCCTAAGCCTGAAACAAACATGAACTCCAATCCCCAAACCGGAACTCGAAGTGACGGTTTAGGGTTTAGGGTTTAGGGTTTAGGGTTTAGTGTTTAGGGATATGTTTGCCTTGTGTCCTGTTTCCGGCTTCTCGAGCCCGGAACAATCCAACCCTAGATCCGGATGTCCTTGGGCGAAAAGATGACGTGGCCATGTAGGGCCTCACAATCCTAACAACCCTTGTAGAAGCTACGCTCATCCAGGGCCTAGGAGCCCTAAGCACTGAAGCTTGAACCCTAAAGCCCAAAGCCGTAAACCCCAAATTCCCGACTCCTACCCGTAATTCCAAATCGTAAACCCTAACCCAACCTGGCCACCCTTACACCCTAAACCCTAAACCCGCAGCCACAGGCGGGTACAGCGGTGCTCTGGAACAACCTTAAGCCGAAGGGCGACGGAGTGCCGGGCTCAGGGCCTTTTAGGTTTAGGGTTTAGGGTTTAGGGTTTAGGGTTTAGGGTTTAGGGTTCCTTTCAGGCTTTCCTTTAAAGGGTTTCCCTATAGGGTTTCCCTTAAAGAGTTTCCTTTTAGGGGGTTTCTCATGGTTCATTTTGAAGTGCTCCTTGCTTCCTCATGGTTCCTGTTCAAGGCTTCATTGTTAAGAGCTCCTTTTACAGGGTTCCTTTAAGGGTTTCTTCAGAGGGTTTCCTTTAAGGGGTTCCTTTAAGGGGTCGCTTTAAAGGGTCCCTCTAAGGGCTTCCTGTAAAGGGTTCGGGGAAGGGGTTCCTTGTCGGGCTCCTTTAAGGGTTAGTTACGTACTAGCAGAGGTGCTATAAGGGTACGGTATCAACAGGGTTTCAGGGTTTAGGGCTTAGGGCTGCATTCAGGCTTTAGGGTTTAGAGTATTTTTTTATGCTCAAGGTCATTGGGTAGTTCTCAAAATTAGGGTCCCTTTGTAGGTCCCCCCAAATAGTACGGCACCCTTATTACAAGCACCCTAAAAGGGACTCTTAAAACCCCTTTTCTACCTTTATAGTAGCCTTACATGTAGAAACCCTTGTAGACCCCTGTCAGGAACCCCCCAAAAAGGGACTCTAATATGGAGAACTACCCATACAGATGAGTGTTGATTCGAGGGACTTGAGCTGAGAGCAGTTCAGGTGTTGAACCTTTAAAGGAACCCCATTATAGAACCTTGTAGTACCCTTTTAAAGAGGACCCTTTTCTGGAACCCTATAGTACCCTTTAAGGGCTCGTGGTGCTCTAAGCTGAGCTCAGGCGTGGGCACGTTGGTTCGTTTCTATTCTTCGGGGGTAGACCCTCCAGCCTGACTCCTTCATCAAGTCTTTCTGTTGGCTACAAGTTTTAGGGTTTAGGGTTTAGGGTGAATCGCAAGCTACCTTTCTTTAGGGTTTAGGGTTTAGGGTGAATCGCAAGCGAAGGCATTTGCCATGCTCAGAGCGAAAAGTAATTATGACTCTTCTGATTTCTTTGCCTCCCGTGGTGTTACTGGTGCTAAACCCTAACCCCAAACCTTAAACCACAAAACCCTAAACCCCTGTGGTGGTATTGGTGCTGATGCTTATGCTGCTCTCCCACTTCGCGTCCCTGCCTGTAGTTTTGTCGCTGCAGTGCTATCGGCCTTACTCAGGACGGCCTAAACCCTTTCTCTGCTTCCGGGAAAGGGTGCTGAAAAAAAGTAAACCCTAAACCCTAAACCTATAGACTTCCAATCCGAGACCTATAGACCTCTAGTCCGACTGCCTGAAGAAAACCGCTTCCAAGGACTTGATGGAGCCTGATCCCTGCGCCTTGCATGAGGTCCAACACCGGAGAGTTCGGGGTTCAGGGTTCAGGGTTTATGGTTTAGGGAGCACCTCCTTTTTGTGTTGTTTTCGGTGTGAAATTTGTACTTAGGTCTTTAGGACTAACCGTTTTAAATATCTTTTAGTTGGGAGGATTCAGTCTATGACTCAAGGAGACTGAAGGAGTCTGGTTGTCGTAGCAATGCTGGGTTCCCGATGTCAGGAGGCTTCGCGACTCTACTGCGCCATTTGTGAGGTTTGCGGTTTAGGGTTTAGGGATGAGTCTTTTGTGAGGTACTGAAAGATCCGGGTTGCACTTCTGTTGTGTTTCTCCCTCGGCAATGGTAGCCACTGTTGCAGAAGAACGACGACTTCCCATGCTTGTCGCCAGTGAATCACGACACCTCGCGCGTCGGGTCACCTCAAAAAGCGCATCTGCGTGCTTAAATCTGATGGCAAGCTTCAGTTGCTACCCTGCGCCCTACTCTAAACCCTGAACCCTAAACCCTAAGCCCTAAACCCCGAACCATGACCTTTTGCCCGAGGCCTCAACTCAGAGATGAAGGCAAAGTCGCAACTACTATGGCTGTGCTGATGAGCATAGGAAGGTTACTATAGTATACTATGGTAGAAGCGATGCGCGCTTCAACGACGATGGTGGTGATGATGACGACGACGTCCGTTAGGGATGCGGATGCCGAGGACGGTGAAGATGACTGCCGCTTCTGCTCTTGATCATGTCGTATGCCAGTCCGACGACTTTTGCTAGCTTAGCATCATGAGGGGTAATCCTAGCAGGAGCAGCAGTGGCAGTGGTATGCAGTAGCTCCTTCCGTGTTCTTCGTCATGCGGGGCGAGGTGGGGGGAGAAGGATCAGAAGTAGGGACTGTCAATGTTTTAGAGGTCTTATCAATATTGTTGCACTCGCAGCGCCCTCCGACTGCTACTCCTGCAATTGCGGGTTCTACTCGTTGTCGTTCGTTGTTTTCTTCTGCTGTTCCTGGTGGTGCTGTCATAGAAGCATCGGCACTTCTGCAATGTTTATTGCTACTAGTCTTGTGCCATGATTAGTTCTACCACTCTTCTTGATGCTATCATAGTCCCTCGACAAAGTATATTATGTCCCCAAACCCCCATTTTAACTGTTAAGGCCCCTTTACCAAGCCCTTTAAGCTGGCCCCTGCCAGGGTGAGCCCCCGCTGGGCGTGAAGAAGGCGCGAGTTGTCGGCTGAGGGGGTTAGGCCTAGCGGTTTCCCAACACACTCTGCTTTTGCAGCCTCGAAATTCGTGTCTTGCCCCTGCCTTGGCAGCTCATAGTTATGATACTTCGCATGAGTGATCTCTGGCTCACGCTCATGATGGTTGTCGTGCTTGCTGTCACTGTCTTGGTTAGCGTCAGCCACATGGCTTGAGCGCCCCAAACCTCTGAAGCCGTAAACTGCAGAATCCTACTGCATCCAAAGCCATCAGATTTGATCATTTTCCGGTACATGTAGTTGGAGTAATATCTTCCAAGTGCCGCAATTTTAATGTTGTCAGTAGTCAGCGCTAAGAGGATCATAGGCGGGAGGAAGATCTGCCACGATACGTGTAATGTCTGAAGCAACAGGTTTTCAATGCTGCGCACGCGTCCGGCTGCGCTTATTTATGAAGACAGCTCTGCATTTCGGAGCTGTTTATGAAAGTCCATGGTGATCGCAGGGAGGATGATCGCTGATGCTGGTGATTCGTGTCCACGACCATAACGATGATGGTGACGCGGAGGAGCATCGTGGAGGACAGTGCGGATGTTAAACCCTAAACCCTAAACCCATAGCTTGCTGCGGCAAGCTATCAGCCAGTTTCGAAGCCTTGAGCCCCAACCCCCAAATCACATCCCAGACCCGAAATCCTCAACCCACGGAAGGCAGGCAGAATGTAAACCTTGGTTGAAGGCCCAAAAATCCGGCAGCCCCTCAGTGTGCGGGGTGGTGCTCTGGTCGTAAAATTTGGATACTTGGAGGATCATGGGACTTAGTAACTAGGGTTATAAATATGGTAACTATAAAATTATAACCCCAATTAGGGTACTTATATATAATTATAGTTACCTTATTTATAACCCTAGTTGCTAAGTCCCATGGTCCTCCAAGTAACCTTTCGCCCTACTGTGGGTTTCCGGTGTTGAAAGTCTTTGGGGTGGTTCTGGTTTAGATGCTAGCGCATTCACATGGTTGGAGCTCGTAGGATTCGGTGGCTCATCTACGGTTCAGGGGATAGCAGGATTTGCCGTAATGTTTAGGGTGTACGGCTTAAAGCCAAAAGCCGAAACCTATTCCATGCACTCGCCAGGTGGCTATGAACGAGCCATGGCGGAACTATTGGGGCTGCTGAAAGACCTTAGGGGTTTAGGGTTGAGGATGGTTTTGGTAATGTAGGGGCCTAAATAATTAACTATACTATTTTGAGGTTTCCTTACTACAATAATGCTATATAGGAGCCCGAACCCTATTCTAACTGTTAAGGCCCCTACATTAGGCTTGCCTTGCCTTGTCATGTGGTTCGTCGTTCTTGCTTGGATTATCAACAGATGTAATGATAATTGCATGGTATCTTTCATTCGCTTCATCCTTCTTAGCACCCGGCGTCGTTCACCGCGTGCTGTGTGCTGTTGACTCTTCCTTTCAGCTTTTCTGACAATGAAAAGACGGAGTATGATGTCGATCCAGGTCCCGATCCGGTTCGTATTCATGGCCATGATAACCAGTACGCTTCATGATAATACTTTTCTGGATGGTGCAAGATTTGAAGGTGTCAACTGAAAGATCAGCTTTCAGCATCACGTCGCCTGCAGACCTGCACTCGCAGCTCTGAAGCCCTTGCCAAACCGAAGACCGTAAAGCCGAGAACCTGATAATTCCTAATCCCAAAACATCAAGCCTGCCCGAAATCCGAAAACCCTAGCGTACACCCTTCTCCGAGGCCAAGCTTACCCTCGACCCCAAAGCGCTAAGAATCAAAAACCACAGATACGCTATACCTGCGTCCCTACACTCTCCTAAACCCCACAAACCTCAAACCATAAGCTCCAGACTCCTAGCCCGAAGCATTTCCTCCTGCTCAGCTTCCTCTCACCGTGTACGCCATTGGCGGGACATTCGTGCGAGCGAAAGTTCATTGCACTTGAAACACCCCGAAGCCCCACAGCTAACCAAGCGCAACCTGCCCAATCGTTAGACAAAAGTCACCCTAAACCCTAAACCTCCAAAAATTGAAACCTTAAGCCGCAACTAATCCAACCGTTAGAAACAGTAACCCCGCAAGGTCTGGATCGTCGACCGTCCTTTCAGCAGGCGCGGGCCTCAGCCTGCTTTCGCGGCCTTGCTGACTTCGAGCTCGGGTTGGGGGGTTTAGGGTTTAGAGTTTAGGGTTTAGGGTTTAGGGTTTAGGGTTTAGGGTTTAGGGTTTAGGGTTTAGGGCTCGGGTTGGGGGTTGACGTCTTTGGATTGTTTCGGATTTAAGGATTGCCTGAACCTGAACCCTGAAGAATCTTCCTTTCTAAGGACGTCTATATAAACAAATCATAACAAGGAACCCTAAAAGGGTAGGTTCTTTAGAGCCCAGGTAGAGTTTAGAGGTGTCCTGTTTTGAGGAACGTCACGGTTGCGGATGTAGCAGAGTTTCGGTGATGCGCTTGGGTGCAGAAAGTGCTCAGCTCAGAGTCATACTTTGCTCAGGGTGGATTTGGGAAATGCTGGCTCCCTCTGCACGCACACACCCCAAACCCTACATGCCAAACCACCAGAACTTCGAGAAGGCTCGACAACCGCCGCGCGGCTCGAAGAGCCTTAAAATTACCTATACTATTTTGGGGGAGTTCCTTATTATAATTGTAGCATAATATACCCCAAAGCCCTATTCTAATTACAAAGGACAGTGGGCGACCGGCACCACTCCTCCTGGCCATAGGGGCCCCTCCCACGCACAAGTTCTAAAGGTGAGGATCCAACCGAGGGCTTTGCTGGATGTTCGGCTTTAGGGTTTAGAGTTAAAACTGCAAACCCTAAACCCGAAACCCAGAACCCTAAACCCTAAACAAGGTGAGTGGCTGCTGTCTGACACGTTAGATGTGCAAGCCCTGAAAGGGCAAGCTTCGGCGGGAGAAAGAGGCTAGTGCATTTAAAAACAACCCTAAACACCCAGAAGCCACACAACCAAGAGCCTCAGACAGAGTGCTTCCTTGTTGCCCTCCCTTCCCAACAGCCAGAACGACGAACAGCAAAAACGAAACTCGGAGCGCTTGACTCTAGACCCAAGCTGAGCTGATACTCCAGAGACCGTGTCTTTTTAAGGGTTTAGGGTATTGGGTTTGGGCTTTCTGCGAAACCAAGCAAGTCAACCCCCGGGCGCCTCGAAGGCAATCCGTGGAGGAGGCTCTACGGAGACGTCAGCGATCCTGTTTCATCCTCAGGTACTATAGGGGCCTAGATTTGTACCGAAACTATTGGGAGCTTCTTGCTATCCCTAAACCCTAAATCGCAGGATTACAAGGCAATATACCCCAAAGCCGTATTCTAATTAATAAGGCTCCTATGTTAGGTTTCTGATTTCTAGGGCTCCAGGGATGTCGTCTTTCCTTAAGGAGCAAGACCAATTCAGGGTTTAGGGGTTTAGGGTTTAGGGGTAGGGTCTAGTAGAGTGTAGCTTGTCGAAATTTTGGGCGGAAGTGTTCAGTACCGCGCACAGGCCAAGATAGTGGTGGTTGAGACCTCAGATGCTTATGCGCTGAGATGTACTAGGTAGGCCTCTGGGACAGCTCAGGTTTTCCCTTCTTGGGCCTGCAAGGATCGTAATTACGAATGTTTTCAAAGGCCTCAAAGGGCCAGCGTAGTTTGGATCCCGAAACCCTAAACTCTAAACCATACAAACCCCAAGCCCTAAACATCCCAAGCCCCTACAGCCTAAACCCTTGGAAACCTCCGAAGCCCTAAACTCGCCTCCATGAAGAGGAAAGGAACCCCAAAGCTTCGTACCCTGAGCCCTAAAACCTTGAACCCTTCATCCCGAAAACCCCAAACCCCTAAACCCTAAATCCCTAAACCTTAAGCCCTCAACTCTAGACCCTAAACCCTAAACCCAAAGCCAAGCCCTGCACCCTAAGCCCTCAACCCTAAAACCTCAACCCTAAACCCTACACCCTAAACCCTAAACCCTAAACCCTAAACCCTAAACCCTAAACCCTAAACCCTACACCCCCTAAACGCTAAAGCCCGGAGTCCCAAGCCCCCAAAGGCCTCCAGCCCGCACCCATGTGCCCACGCGAAACTGAACGTCCTAAAGGGGTTCCTTTCAGGGCGGTATGAGGGCTCCTTTAAAGGGTTCTGTAGGGCTCCTTTAAAGGGTTCTATAGGGCTCCTTTAAAGGGTTCTATAGGGCTCCTTTAAAGGGTTCTATAAGGGTTCTATAAGAGTTTAGGGGTTAAAGGAACCTGATCAAGGTTTCGTATGAGGGCTCCTTTAAAGGGTTCTATAAGGGTACTATAAGAGTTTAGGGGTTAAAGGAACCTGATCAAGAAACCTTCTGCAGCAGCTTGGGGTTTAGGCCCCTAAGCCCCAAATGGATAGTTCTCTAAATCAGCGTCCCTTTTAGGGTCCTTTTTATACGGGTGCCGCACTATGCTTTGGGGCCTAAAAAAGGGACCCGAATTTAGAGAACTACCCAAACCCTAAACACCGCCTTTGAGCCTCTGAGGCCTTGCTGACACTGCTCCTCCGGCTTCAGAGGATGCAAAAAACGATGCCACGAAGATTGGCTGCGGGGCTTCGGGGTTCAACTAAACCTTAAACCCTGAACCCTAAGCCCTAAGCCCAAAGCTCTAAGCCCTAAACCCTAAACCCCTAAAGCCCTAAACCCCTAAAGCCCTAAGCCCTAAGCTCTGAACCCTAAACCCATAAACCCATAAACCCCTAAATCCGAAGCCCTAAGCCAGATTGCCTTCTTCAGCGGCTGGAGATCGGGGCGCAGAGTTTAGGGTTTATGAGGCTTGGGCGTTCATTTAGGGTGTAGGGTTTAGGGTTTATGGGATATTTAGGGCTTAGGGTTTATAGGATTTAGGGTCTATCGGGTTTAGGGTTAATGGGATTTCGGGTTTATGGGATTTCCGGCTTATGGAGTTTAGGGTCTAGGGGGTTTAGATGTCATGTTCAGGCTGAGACTCAGGGCCTCGGTTCGGATG